TATGTATAATCAACTATCATCTGTTTCTTGGTTCGTTTATTCTGGAATGTAATTAGGACACGGTGAGATATTAGATCCACTTTTTGTCCCTACCATGGAATAAATTTCCTTCCTTTAATAACGGCATACTTTTTGCATTTCGTTGGTAAAAAGAAATAATTTCTACACGCACGTCGTAGATTGTCAATAGAAGTGAGCTGGAGAAAATCGCGACGCGGATAAGCATCTGTATTAATTAAGACTGGCTCGGGACTAATTAGTTCGTTGGCGTTAATTTCACATCCTGCCGATACGCGATCTCTTTGGACCTTGACATTACGATCGCAGCGAATACACTTTTAATAACTGTCACGACCGCCGAACAACATTCTTCCTTGGTTAATTAAGAGAGCGTATCTCTACAGGAAAATACTGGCTGTTCCTCTCTCTCTTTCTACTTTCACTTCGCATTCAAGTTCCTCAAATTAGGAAGTTCCTCCCTCGAATCTTGGTAGGCATGCTCGTAATGCAATTGTTTGGTACAACTGGCTGATAAATTGATATAAATTTTAATATGAAATCATGCAGCGTTGTTTGATCATGATAGAGAGCGCAAATTTTTTGTTTCAGACGATAAGTACATCCATGAATTTTTGCAATACTGTAATAATTATTTTGCCGACTTTGCTTCATTTTTTGCTAGCATAAAAAGAATTTACAACTTGAAAAACATTAAATTCTTCATATACATACACAATAGGCTAGTGTAGTACATGCACATCTGTTACATTCTACGTCTGGTTCATCTTAACCGAAAAGCATGTTCGTGGTGGAACATCAAGTCGGTTCGTCAGGTTTTACAACAGACAAGCCGTGCGAAATCGGAAACTCTTTACGCCACGCGATAAGAAGTCGGTTCTTTCTGGGAAAGTGTTAAAACTGTATTCGAGTATCGGATTTGCGTTAAGACCGGTACCGTACTGCTCTCGAGATATCGACAACCTAACGAAACTTCGCAGACTCGGGAACGAATGCGGCGTTCGAAGAGCTATCGAATTTTCGATACTTCCAGCACGGTGACTTTGCTCACCAATTTTTCACAGCCAAGAATCCCACGTATTTTTCTCGACTTATCACGTTCATTGTGATGTGATACGACCCGTACTTGCAAGAGATTCGCTGCCTCCTTCGAATCGATATGAATTACTCATTGGATGAAGATTACATCCTACGAATGGGCCTGAGCGACCGTGTTCCACCACGAACTTGTGTGAATGCGAATCTCTCTTTGATTCCCATCACGCAATTCGTGACTGTACCATCAATGAACATGGAATATTGCACGCCATACAATGACTGTTTCTTATTGAATTAATACTACATTTATGAAGTACTCGCACGGGCTCTTCTGTTATATTAGTCAATATCTTGAATTTCTTACAAACAGCAATTTTTAGTAATCTCTTTTATGTTCGTGTTTTAATTACATTTGAATTACACGTTGTTGGTACACATGCTGAATAGATAAATAAAATATTTGTAGATTTCTAAATTCCATCATATCCAATTTCACTCCCAAGAGATTGTGCCGCAAAATTACTAAATTCGTATTCGAAGAAATAAACAAACGTGAAATAAACAGAAATTTAATTCGATACTCGTTCGATGAAAGAGGAGTGAAAAATGAGTGGTTGATTGACGAAACGTAGGCAAGGCAAGTGAGATTAAAGATCAGGTCTGGACTAGACAAATTTGATCAGCAGTGTACCTAATTGTACCAATATTTGAGAGGTCCGGAATTTTCACGAATCGTGAAACGGCGCGGTATCATTTATCCGCTTCACCATTTTCCCCATTCTTTGATACAACGGCACTGAAACCGGTTCGATTCATTTTTTCTTTTTTTTTTCTGTTCCCATCGATATCAACGGCCACCTGCATGATTCGGACCGGGTAAAACGATACGGTCTGTGGATCTGGTTTGGCCTCGACCAAATAGGAACCTGTGCTC